GGGGCTCCTGGCCATACTACTAGGAGCAAGGACGCTACTAGGGGCTCGTGGCATCGCTAGTAAAAAGAAGCTATTAGAAACAATAAATAAATAGAATTAACCTGATTCATGAGAGGCAAATATATGATAATATGACGACGGCACATCTGAGCGAAGCTGCGGGAAGATTCTGAAAGGGCTGGAGCCTGGGCAAAGCGAGATTTCCCTTGCAACGGTTCTTTTGGTCAAAGAGCGATGGAGCTAGTGAGAGGAAAACACACAAAATTATGACACAAAGATAAAAGGTTGAAGCGTTTCACAAACAGAAAGGACTCACCAAAAGAAACGACAAGAAACGTGTAACATGTCAATTGATGACTCTGAGCCTGCCTAGTTTGCGAGCGGACATCCTCCACCTCGACCGAGGACGGGTAGGCAATAGCTCAGTGGTTCTCTTTTGCAACGAGTTGATGTGGGTTCCACAAACTCTCCAAAATCAAATCAACCTACTAGCCATGGCCTCCAACCTACTAGCCATGGCCTCCAACCTACTAGCAACTGCCTCCAACCTACTAGCAAGGGGGCCTCCACCCTATTAGCGACAGCCTCCAACCTATTAGCAATGGCCTTAGCGGTGGCCTCCAACCTACTGGCGACGGCCTCCTGCTAGCCATGGCCTTTTAACCTACTAGCGATGGCCTCACGGCCTCCAACCTACTAGCGATGGCCTCCGACCTACTAGCGATGGCCTCCAACCTACCAGCGATGGCCTCCAACTTACTAGGAATGGCCTCCAACCTAACAGCGATGGCCTCCAAAATCCTCCAACCCACTAGCAACAGCCAACCCAATAGCAATGGTCTACCGGGTTCTACAAGCTCTCCAGGAACAAGTTAACAAGCACGTCTTGCTCTTGGGGCTTTTTTTTCACCCTGCAGCCTGCAGCCCTGCCATGCTTGCTTGTTGGCTTCAATCATGACGTGCGTGACGTGCAATATTCGGAATATTCCACCGTTCCACCCCTGCCGCTGCCTGCAACGACGAGACTACTGCCAAAGCAGAGATTGTCAACCTGAGAGCTGCTTCGTGCAGCTACCCCGAATTTTTCGATGAAACAAGAGAAACACGAGCCCGTTTGGCAGCTCGGACATGAAAACTAGAAAAAAGGAGCCCGTTTGGCTTCCTTTTCGGTGTGGAATTCTGTGCCTTGTGCTAGTCCTGGGAGTCTGAGGCACAAGCAGTGTGGAGCCCATGGACTTGAGAAGCTGCAACCGTGCCCTGCCAGCCGTGGCACTGTCGACATCCGAGTGCATTCACGAGTAGCAAGTGCATCGCTGCAAAGGGCATCGCTACTAGGAGCAAGGACGCTACTAGGGGCTCCTGGCCTTACTACTAGGAACAAGAAGCTACTAGTAAAAGGGGCATTACGACTAGTAACAAGAAGCTACTAGGAGCAAAGGCCATCGCTACTAGGCTAGTTTGCGCAGAAAGAACCTTCAGCACAAAAGGCCATCTACAGCCCCCTCCGTTCTCTCAATCACCTCCAACTGCCAAACTCCATACAGTATCCGTACATCGCTCAAAAGAATTGTTCGATCAGTGCGAACAGAACGCTAACTCCACACAGAACTCATACTCGCGTTATTCATTGATTACGCAAACTCTCTTGTTATAGGCATGAGCCTTCGGTACATATTCCTCCGACGATCACTTCTTACGTGCTGCCGTGTAAAAAAACAATAATTGTCACTTCGAGTTTTGCAGGAAAGAACCCAAACCCATTTCACACTGCCATCGGCCGCCCTCGGTTCTGTGCCTCTCCCCGCAACAAAAGCCCACACTGTATGGCCCTGCGCGACCAACTCGACATGAAAAGAAAGCTGACACTGACCAACCCGAAAACAATCAAAAACAGACGTCCTACCGAAATCGATGACCGACGTCTGACAAACACCGGACCCCTCTGCTGACTATGCGCAAAACACACTGAGCGGTTCACAAATCCGATCTGACTAGTGGCGTCCCTGCTCCTAGTAGCGATGCCAGGAGCCCCTAGTAGCTTCTTGCTCCTAATAGTAAGGCCAGGAGCCCCAGTAGCTGCCAACCCGCCTGAAGGGATTTTCAAGGGCCAAGGATTATGGAAAAGGTTCAATACCCTTCATATGAGCCAAAGACTCTGCTGACGCACCAGACCGTGTGGCCTACTCAAAAAGCCGAAATACCATAAATCGAAGCCAGTCATCCAAGCGCAGTAACTATCAAGCCATGGATTTCCCTGCAGCAATCTGCGGAAATCTGCAGATCGTTGTGCGAGCTGAGTTTCTGATACTCATGTGTTCTTCTTCTTCTTCTTCTTCTTCTTCTGCTCCTCCTCCTCCTCCTCCTCTTTCTTCGTCGTCGTCTCCCTCTTCTTCGTCGTCTTCGTCCTGCACTCAAGCCTTCACACGCTCCCAATGCTTCACAAGACTCAACCATGCTGTTTGGAATCCCAACACAAACAAAGCACCTGTTCGTCTTTGCAGCGTTTGTCTCAGCTTCTTGCTTTGTCAATACAGAAAGCAATATCTACATCTATAGTCTGCATTAAAAAGGCAAACAATAACCAACAACCTTCCCGTCTTCGAACAACTTTTTGATCTGTTGCTGTTCATCTTGGCTGTAACGTCCCTGCCAAGTCGTCCTCACCAGTGGGTCGCACATCGTCCAGATTTGACATTCACTGATCACTTCATTCACTTCGCGAGACTGAGCATCTTCTACTAGTAACAAAGGGCATTTCTACTAGGAGCAAGGACACTACTAGTAGCTCCTGGCATTACTACTAGGAACAAGAAGCTACTAGTCGAAGTGCCTCAGTCGACCTTGAAAGGCGACGTGCGGTCTCGTGGTTTCTTCGTCTCCCCTCCTCATTTGCCCCGGGCGGATGGTGCTGCGCTGGGCGGACCAGACGGCACAGCCGACGGCACCGAAGGGCCAACGGACGGCGTGCGCGACACGGCCGGAGAGTGGCCCAAGGCCTGGCGAAAGAATTTCGTCGGCAAAAAGGAAACAATGAATAATAGCAATGGCCTCCAACCTAGTAGCTTCTTGTTCCTAGTAGTAAGGCCAGGAGCCCCTAGTAGCGTCCTTGCTCCTAGTAGCGATGCCAGGAGACCCTAGTAGCTTCTTGTTACAAATAGCAATGGCCTTTGTTTCTATTAGCGATGGCCTAAAACCGAATAATTGCTTTGCAGTTTCGCTTGCATGGTGGGTGTGGACGATGAAAATGTCGTCCAGGCCCGATCCGATCTGCGGTGCCTTCACCCCTGGTGGCAGTGGCGGAGGAGGCGGTGGCCCTGTCACCGGCAGAACTTTGCCACCTGCCTAGGTGTCGCAAACTACATTAGACCGTTCTTTTCTTCAAATCCTTTTTCTTTGCTTCTGAGAGCAATTGGAGACCTACTAGCGACGGCCTCCAACCTAGTAGCGATGGCCTCCAACCTTCTAGCGATGGCCTCCAACCTACTGTAATGGCCTTCAACTGATTGCGGGGGAAAGCAATGCTTTGCATGTGTAGGCTAGGTTCCGGGCCGACCGGAAAGATGGCACGCCTGCAGCTCCTCCAGTTTCGTTCTCTTAAAGTTTATAAAGGGTGTTTTCTTGCCGAGGTCTTCCTTCCACATTTGTTCCTCGAACGGAGCTCATTCGAACATTTCTGAAGTCTCCTTTGGCGCCAGGCAGACCAGGCGGTCCTTCCTTTGGAAGGAACGCGGGTCGAGCCACCGGAGGCTTCGCCGACCTCAGCCATGACGGAGGTTTCTTGTGCCTGTGAAACCCGAAGTCAGAAATGTCCTGTCAACTTCTTGTAATGGAAATGGACCATTGTATCTTTGAGAATTGTTCTTTTTAACTTGAAGATTCTTGTCATGTGCTTTATGGCTTTGAATTTTGGATGGTTCTATTCCTGAGCACTCTGGCGGTGGCGGCGGCGCATTTTTTGGAGGGTTCCTGAGGCACGCGTTAAGCTGCGACTCCTTCCTCAAAGCAAACGAAATAACTGTCCAAAAAGGAAGGAACCTGAGCATACCTGAGCTCCAAAAATTGGTTTTACGACAACGCTGTGCTCCGTTCATCACACCCGTTCCAAGTCCCGGGCTTGGGGGGGCACCATTGGAACGGCTGGCTTCTTTGGAGGTGGCTTTCGCCCCTGGATCCCCACGTCGTTCTGGCGGCGGTGCGCGGGCGCATCGCACAACTGCTACGAAATCACAAGGCCTAAGGCCACTGGGTCTCCCAAAAAGCATCCAGCTGTCTGGAGAATCATCACGGAACTGATAGTTGCTTTTGATGTTCTTTTGATACACAGAGGAACAAGAAGCTACTAGGGGCTCCTGGCCTTACTACTAGGAGCAAGGACGCTACTAGGTGCTCAATACTTGGAGGTATCTTCGCATGACAATCCAAACAAACTCGTCGGGCTCAACCGATTCAAACATCAAATGGAAATGGATATTCAATGATTCAAGCCGCCAAGCCTGAATGAAAGTCCCTGACTTTATCGCCCTTCCACCAGTTCTACAGGTGTGTGATCTGTGCATGTCTGGACCCACTTTGTGGACCAAAGTGAGCAGTGTGAAGGAGGCCATGGCTACTAGCTTGGAGGTGAAGGTCCTGCCTTTCGGATCTTGCTTTTGAGGAAGTCACCACCCATCAAGCGCCGACGGATCTCAAACCTTAACCATCTCGCAGGTCAACTCTCGTCGTTTTGTGGACAAAAAAGTATCTATTTTTAAAGACCTGGGGGAGTAGGCCGCAAGTAGAGGCGAGGTAGGTAGTAGCTATAGGGGTAGGTAGCTGGTAGAAGCTAGGGAGTCGCTAGTACCTGCAAGTAAGCTACAACATATGGACGCAGGATAGCTCACGCTTCTTCAAGGAAGCTTCCCCGCCACCCTAAAAGCGCTCGCGCTAATGAGTTGGTTTCTAGATGTTTAGGGAAACTTTAACTAATAGCGATGCCGATGCCCTTGTTACTACCAGTAGTAGCTTCTTGCTACTAGTAGTAAGGCCAGGAGCGCCTAGTAGCGTCCTTGCTCCGCGATGCCCTTCTTGTTCCTAGTAGTAATGCCTGGTACTCCCATAAGTCGTTGTGTCGGCATTCCGTGCACGTTTCGTGAGGCACAATAGTGAAATAGTGCAGTGAGGTGTCAAAGCAAGTTATATGGGTGACATCATCTTGGTCACAGCAAGTTTGGAGCAGAGGCAGAGATCTGTGCCCACGGCTTTCGCAATTCCACAACAGTAGTGACAGCACCACGAACTACCTGCGTTTGGGATGCTTGATGAAGAAGGTTGAGCAGCAAATCAAAAGCAGCACAAATGCCCATGGACTTCCAGACTTAAAAATACTGCCAAAACTGCTTTGATAAAAAGAAAAAGGTCTTCTGCAGCCGGGCTCGGGCTTGGAGCCAAGCAATGCTGGGGCTGATGGCAACTGTTCACTGCTTCTGTTTGCAACAATCTGAGAGCAATCTGAAGCAAAGGCAAGCAGAACAGTAAGCTACATATGCACTTATGCCTGATAAAGCTCGCTCCCATGGAGTGCCAAAAGATGTCAAAAACGCCCCCTGCCTCGAGCACAAGCAAAGCTATACAAATCCCGAGAATGCAGGCGTAGGACCAATGCTGCTCCTGCGGATGGCAAGGTAGAGACCATGAGGCTCTCTTGAGGCTCTCTTGGTTCAGTCGACTCAAACATTTTTCTCACGGCCAAGACGTAGTGATGGGTAGTGATGGGCAAGACCCAACATGGGCAGGGGTTCCAAACATACCTCCTTAAGCCACAGTGCTCACAAGACTGCCTCAAGGTAATCGACAAGCAGCCCCTAGTAGCGTCCTTGCTCCTAGTAGCGATGCCAGGAGCCCCTAGTAGCGTCCTTGCTCCTAGTAGCGATGCCAGGAGCCCCTAGTAGCGTCCTCTAGACCCCTCGATGCTGTCCTCCACCCGTTGAAACTTGGTGCTGTACGCCAAGTTCAGAACCACTTGGCATGCGATGGAAGCGCCTGAGGCCTCAAGCCGAAGTGGCAGCGACGAGAATCAAACAGGACTAAAGGGAAAGGTCTAGAGAATGGCTTCGGATGGGTCTACAGAATGGGTCTACAGAATGGTGACAGCTGCCGACAGCTATAGCTGCTGCTTTCCTAGTCTTGAGCTTCCCCCGAACAAAGAAGTGGCTCAGAAACATTTACATCTGGACAGGCTTTCAGGCAGTACCTC